CACTTGAGGCACATATTGCCGTGCAGAAGCTAGCACCTTTTCCATATCTCCATGCTTCTTCAATGTCAGGTTACTCCCTGCAGTGGACCAGCCTCCATGAATACCGGCGAGCAATTTATCTACCATCTTGGTAGAGAAGACACCTGTGATAGCGGCCTCTGTAAACTCGAAGTCAGCAAGGTTGCGAAATGGGGCCCAAGGTTGTTGGCTAATTTTGGGTACGAAGAGGGGTCTCGACTTTGCATTGGTTGTTTCAGAGAGTGGAAGGATTCTAGGAGGCTCCAAACTGTGATGATGCAGAATGATCTTGATATAGGACATGGGCAACGATGGCCCTTCGAGGGCATCACTGATAGCGGCAGGGTCAGAAATATCTGTTCACCAGGTTAATTAGGCGATATGTAAAGATTAATATATTATTACCTCCAGGAATGACAGTATACTCAAGGTCTCGCATCTCTATATCTGACGGCGGTGACGCCAAGTCTGGCGAAGCTAGCACTGGCACTGGCAGCTCCGAGTCTGGATTTGAGATACGGAAGGAACTGGCCTGGAATCTCTTGCGAGCTTGGAGAAGCTTGATTCGCTGACGACATGAATGCTCATGCTTGTCCAGGCGTCGCCAGTTTCGCAGCTCATGACAATGAATACAGCGGCGTAGGCCAGAATCATCACTGGCTTGAGCTTTGGCTTTCTTGTTTTTGGCTGAGCTCGGTTTCCGGGGCATAATGTGGTCAGATCCGAGCTTCCTTTGACGCGTAACTTGTACTTGAGGACAAGTTTCAAGAAAATTACAGCTGTTTTAGAACCGATGGGCCGTCAGCGCAGTGGAGTTGAATTTGTCATCAGAGCTCCACAGCTTCGTGATGCCCACCACACATTCAGTAATTGCCAGGCAAAGATTTAAGCTTTCTCTGAGCTCCACAACACATCATGGTCGATTTTTTTGGATATAAAAGCCCACAGCTCCCACAATATCAACCACTTTTACAACCTTGACCATTTCTCGAATCCAAATTACAATCATGCATACGGTACATGTCTCTCTTCTCTTCTCATTTCATTGTTCTCATTTTCTTCTCTAGAAACGAGCCAAGAAGGAAGCTGAGAGTGTCGTCGCTCACAGCAAGAAGCGTACGCGAGCTGATGATATACCTCCTGACGCTGATGGCACTCATGGCGCTGGCTCGGATATGTCCTGGAACCCTCCATCAGATCTTGACGTTGAACAAAGGCCCAAGCGAGCCAAGCATGCTTCATGCGACGTCAATATCCCTGAAATCCATGTTCACATCGAAAACAATCCTTCCGCTTCATCCACACCTGAGAAGACCACGCCAACCAAGGCTTTTGGCGGAAACCACTTTGGAAATGTGGCTCATCTGACCTCTGGCATTCCTGTTGAGTCAGCTCCCTCATTGACCACTTGCCCTTCGACTCCTCGCCTTAAATATCCTACTATCCATGATGCCCTTGTCAAATTCGCCGCATCGAACCCTGGGTTTGACCCCTTGCCCATGGAATCCACCCTTGTTGACAGCAGCATCAACTCCCTAGATGAAATCACTGTCCAACCGGTTGATTGCTTGTGGACGCTCACCGATCTCGACTACGCCAACCTTGATTCATTGTATACCTGGGCGGTCAATGAGCTGGGTGCATGGGGTAATCTCGGAGCATTTTCTGCTTCGCTGGGTGAATTCAGACACGAAGAGGATAAAGAGAATGCTGTCCCTGGAACCCACTGTGATGTATCCAGCCCAACCAATCTTGTTGGTGTTATCAATGAAGAGGCGTCCAAGGAGGTTGATGACGAATGTGATATATTTAGGGAGCGCTCTCAATTTGTACCAGACTTCGAATAAGTTGAACAGATAGTTCAAGTAATGTAATATTATATCCTAGGCAATTTATCCTGTGTCGATATCATCTGTAATTCCTGATTTTCGGAGAGCAAAAAATGAACAGGAACCAAACAATGTCAATTTGTTGTCCTTCAACCACCATGCCCACAAGCCAGTCGCATCGAGCTATAACCCCAGAAGGCTGGCACCTGGGGCCAGCGTCCCGCTCTCCAACTCTTTCTCCCTCGAAGGCACCTGAAGAACTGTGTCGTGTACGTGAGATATGAATCCGTGAGATTCTGCTGCTAATTTCATTGGTTAGATCGCACGTCGCTTTCAAGAGAAGTCTGCAGAGCTTGAAACTGAAGTGCGTCACCTCAAGCATCGACATCTCGCAGATGTGACGAATGACGAAGAACAAGATGACGCGTCAGGTTCAGACAATGAACCATCATCCAAGAAGGCACGAAAGTCTGACGAGGAAGCTACAACTATCCAAGAGGCTAAAGGTCATGCCCATAAATTCGTCATTCTCTATAATATGTGGCTGTTGAAGAGAGAAGAGACATTCCAGGAAGAACTTGACGATGAGTATGACCCAGCAGAGCGGTTCGCGAATGAAAGGAATTGTGTCCAGGGTCAGTTGCGAGACCTGATTGATTGCATTCCACCCAACTTTCATTCTGAGATGGATAATTTGTGTTATGCAAAAACGGTAAGCTCACGAATTCCACAGCCTTCATTCCACCTTATCTCCCTCTTCACAGTTTGTCCAAGAAATGGGCCAGCAGTTGTGGAACACTGTTGGCCGGCTTCGTCAAGCAGCAACAGTTGCTGTATTCAGTGACTATGCCAAGTCGATGGGCTCTTCAGAAGACCGAGTAAACCTATGTGATGTCATTGGATACAAGGAGGATACAAAAACCTGGTCCGTATTTGACGTTGAGGTCCTTTACGGTGAATATACAGCTGGGGAAGTTGATGTAAATGAGATTTTCCGCGGACCAATCCTGAAAAAGGTGAGCAGGCCAAAGAGTAAAAGACCAGCGGTACTGACAAAGATATCTTGCAGGTTTTCTGTGCACTTATTCGTGGCCCCCGAGGCCCCATCGGACTCCTAGAGGGAAAATCAGTCAAACCGTCGACACCAATAATGGAAACAATCCACAATATCCATCATACAACCCCAGGCGCCATTGCTGCGTCTGCTGTCTTGGTATGCCAGATTCTGTCGATGATTCTCCTGGCTAATGATTATCCAGGCTCGCTGGTCTATGTCACCTGATGTTCAGCTCAAATCTCCTGGCGACAGAACTGGTATCAATTACCAAGCTGATTTCGATGAATGCCTGAGCCTGATCCTGCGTGGAATGGCCCGAAACAAGCGCTGGGTAAAAAGGCTTTTTGCTGATTGGGATTCTGTCCTGTTTCCGTTGCATCCTTCGAAATATGGCGGCAAGATTGTGACCAACGAGCTTCAGCAAATCAGAAACGAGGAAATCGACACGATGCATGACCTCGATGATCTCGCCACCTCAGAGTCAGAAGAAGAACCGGAGGAAGAGCCAGAACCAGAGGGAGAGAAAGAGCCTGGGGAAGAGTCAGAGGAAGAGCAAAGCGCTCATGGAGAAGACGCGTAGTTGAAATCCTGTCGAACAAATGTAAAAATATCACAAATGCGGTCACGGTGATGGCAAACAAAACCAAGCATCATTGGCATGAAGCTCAACCATGACCACGGTTCTCTGTTCTCGACAGTCAACAAGGAATCATCTTTATATCAACCATCATCAGAGGTCATCTTCCTAGGTCAGACAGCTTTGTCTGTCCTGCGGTTCCATAGGAATTTCCCAGTGACCGAGGCATATTTGTCCTTACAAGGTGTGTGGTTCCTCTCAGACACGGCATTCCAATTTGACTTGTTTCCAGTAAGCTCGTTTTGACGGCCATTCATGACCATGGCATCGCTGCATTCCTTCTTCTATGCCCACTGGAATAATACCATCCACACGCCTTGGAGATGTCATCCTTCTGCTGCATGCAGCTCAGTGAAAGGTCAGTAGAATTCCTCCTTCTGAATGCCTGTTCTGAAATCACTCGTGCAGGACCCTCATTTTCCAAAAGCATTGCTGCCATCTGAACCACCTTTCGCTGGTGAGATGACCTGCCTCATTCCTTCTTCGAGACTCTCCAATCCTTCTTTCCGCTCCTGTGTCAAACCTTGTATCAAGGCCCAACTTGTCAATAAATAAACTAAAGATTGAATTTACCTTTAATTGTTCATCGACCAACTTGCGAAACTGGCCGGTGGAACTGTAAAAAAATTGGGTCCACCGATCAGTGCTGGTCAGGGCTGATCAGTCAATGGGTATATATACGGCCTGCCCTTGCATACTACAAAAGCCTGCGTAGTCCAGTAGTCTATATTGTTAGTATTATGTAGTTCCGTTTTTATAGTCAGGAGTTCGATTCCCACTGTGTCAATTAATTACAATCCCTCGGTTCTGATGATTCCCAGGACGTCAGTGGTGGTAATAATACCACGCCAGTGGTGATATCACTGCTGGAGTACATTGTTTTTTACATTTTTGGCTCCCTTTTTGTGCATTCTGAACAGCCCTGATCCCCAGGTATTATTGGAATCAGTGGTGGTCAGCCAGCTCAGCTTGACAAGGACCTATCAGTGGCTTCAGTCAGAATCAGCACCGATCAGTACCTTTCAGGTTTTTCTTGCCACTGATCAGTTTCATTATCGCTGATCAACTGATCAGCCCGAATCACTCCATTTCAGACCTTTTCACCCTTTTTGAGAAATTGGGACACTGACACAACACAAGATGTCTAGACCATGCATAGAGATGTCGGGAACACGAGCTGCGAAGGTAAAGTCGTTTCCAGATACGCTGAGCTGATTGTCAATGACAATTACAATGAGAATGAGCACAGAAAAAGCAGTTGAGATGTCTCCACTTCCGCATGGGAGATGGTGTCTGACGGCTCTTGAGTACTTGAGTCTTCATTGCCTTCGACGAGAACTGTCCTGAGGTTGTCATTGAAAACCTTGAGGGATTGTTTCAGTTGTCACGGATGAGACCGTCATCTCCAGAGCAGTTGAAAGGCAGAAACTCATGCAAAAAGATGATACGCACATATACATAGTATCAACTAGTATCGATCCAGTGACCTCGGGGTATGGGCCCCCCGCGCGCTACCACTGCGCCATGATGTTATGCTGTCGATGTTGGATCGGCATCCCAAAGGCTGATGCACCCTCATGACCGATTTCCTGACTGCATTCAGGTGTTGGGATATGTAGAGTAGATGACGAAGTGAATTCTGGAGATGTTCTGTGCTCTGATATGATAACTCGGATGTCAATCTGTACAATACGTGTTCTGGCCCGCATCAGCAACTATCGCCAAACCGCAGTGATGCTCATTAACGTGGGAGCCCGTCATTTCTATTTTTGGTTCCGCCATGCCCTGGCCTTCACGTAAGTATTTTTGACGTTCAGACGCGATTTGGTGGACGCGTGGTACTGTTGCGAGCTGTTGCGAGTCGCGCTTTTGCCTCAAGACCCGGACCATATGATTCTCTTCACCCCAGTTCTGCATCTGATAACTGGGATTCGGTTGTTGAGTGACGTTGATCGGAACTGTTGACCTCCGATAATCTAATCACTCGGGTCTTTTTCTTTGTTGAGCGCGTCAGCGCTGCTAGGCTCTTGATTCTGAACTCTGCGGCCGTTTTTTCTTCGTTTCTCTTCAGCGGTCATTCAACTCTGAAACCATTGTATTGGCTTCAACCTCCACATTCTTTTGTTCAATATTGGCTCAAATTATGTCGGTCGTACAGCTCGACGATAACGACTCTTCCATTATATATTCCGCAGACCCTTTACACTGGGGCCTTGGGGGCGGCCCTGAGGAATATGACGGTACAACACACGGCACTACAACGCTGGGAGCGAGCGCTCAGATTCCTTTCTCAGGTGAGCTCGATTTCGTTCTGTAAATCTCCTGCTGAGGACTATATCGCCAGGCACATATATCAAGGTCTATGGGACCGTGACTGCCCACAGTTCTCCCGACCCTGTCAGCAGTTACTCGATAGATGATGGCCCCGCTACGACATTCTCTCCAGATTCTAGCACAATATCTGCGGATGCGCACAAGCTTCTTTTCTTCCAATCTGGAACATTGGCTGCTGGGGACCACAAACTGGTCATAAAAATGATGGTTGACGGTGGCCGGTATTATCTCGACTGGGTAGAATTTACCCCGCAGGGGGCCAGTGCGAGTACAGGCAGTGGAGGTACACTGGGATCAAGTGGAGGGGATTCGGGGACTACTGGGGATGCTGGGAGCTCCGGGGATTCAGCGAACTCGGGGGTATCAGCGAACAAAGGGACTATTACGACTACTATCTTGAAGTCCACGACCTCAACCGTGACGACAGCTGATTCCAAAACCACTGGTACCCACCCCTTATCTCAGTCTGGTACTAAATCGACATCGACACCGACATCGATATCAACACAAAGCCTGGTATCCCTTGCTGTCGCTGATCCCTCCAATACCTCGACCGGCCTCTTCGCTACATCTCTTCCCAATGCGACTGAAACTGTCACCATCACTGGTACATCTTCCAAGGCCCCAATAGGTGCCATTGTTGGTGCAATAGTCGGGGCAATCTGCGTCATGGTGCTCGCATTCTTGCTGTATCGGTACAAAATGAAAACACAAAAACACCGTTCGTCATTCCTCAGAACCTTTCTCCGCATACTAATTTACCGGTTAATCAGGTCGACTCGTTGTGCCTGAACCATATCCAGATTCATTGTCTAGTCCGAGGCTCGCAAGCACGAGAGAGTCTGTAGTGACGCCACATATTGCCCCGTCTCCAACGTATGTCACAGAATCCACTTCAACAACAACAAGATCGGAAAAAAGTCCTCCATCTATTCAACCTGAGGAATTCCCACCTGCATATTATCAGGCAGTACTTCAAGATTCTACTAGTACCGCAGGAAGCGTCTATCGGGTCTAATATACTTGTATGCCATCATCGCTAGCTATCTTTTCCTGGCTCAGAGCTTTTCGTTTCCCGCAGTTTCAACAGCTTGTTACTTCAATGCTTGCAACAGATATTTAGTATTGTCAGATATAATGGACTGTTTCAGAAGACGTTGACTGAAATCCTACCATTAATATTGCAGCTTCAAGCTACTTCAAGGAAGCTGGAAATCGCTGAAAACTCGGAACAACCTCATGAGCTCAGGTTAGAGCGGGCCGAAGTGCCGGCGGCCGGATCTGTCACATGTAACATGTGACGAAGGTGCTTTTATTTTCGGGCTTTCCGCCGAATTGGGTGCATTTCTCCGGCTTTTCTGGTTCTTCAACCTTCCTCGACGATGCTTTCAGATTTCTTTCTTAAAAGAATTGGATCAGGCGCTTTCTGCCCCTGAAAAGAAACTGGACTACTTAGCCTCGACGCCAAACAGAAGACGCGTTGAATTTATCATCTGCTTCCGTCAAGCCAGTCAGTCCATTACAGATACACATGTTTGTACAGAGTTGACATTTCCTCTTATCCCAGAAAATCGGTCTCGCCCCGCTTGATTACCTTGTCCAGTCCTTCTGCAATGGGCACATCACCGCCAACGAGATCGATGGCCAGTCCAGCTGCATCTTCTCTGTCTGCGAGATGAGCCAGAGCTTCTGCAACGTCGTCTCGCTGGAGAATCGTCAGCAATGTAGGAGAAAAAGGGTACGGAATGCTCACGGATATGCTTTCGGTGAGATGAGTTCTTCCAATAGCAGCTTTCCCTGTCCCAGCTGAATCTGTCAGACCACCGGGCCGTAAAATCGTCCACCGGAAAACATCCCGTTTGGCCAAATTCTTGTCAGCCTCGTATTTCCATTTCATATACGTTCCAATTGTCGTCCACATGCTATCGGACTTCGCAATGTCGGCTTCGTTCTATCAATGTCGATTCAGCATTCCAAAGCCAAGAGAGCAAGGAATTACGCACGTAATGTCCTGGGACCGGTTTTTCTCTATTCCTCGAATCGATACACGACACGAGAATCAACCTTGGCTTCACGTCCTTCACTGCCTCAATTGCATCGAAAATCTTAAGCGCTCCCTCATAATCGACTTTCTTCGTGCGCTCAGCTCCACCTTTCCCACCAGCGCCAGCGCTAAAATACACGATGTCGAAACCGGTGAAGGCTTTGGTGAAATCGGCGACCGGGGAATCTTCGAGGGACAGGATTAAGGGCTTTGCGTTGGTTTCACAAATATCGCTTTCGTGGGCAGCGTCTCGAATGACTGATGTGACGGAATGTTTCGGGCTCAGGAGCCTGGCCAAACGCAGCGACACCTGAAGCATGCATCAGCTTTGGAATTCTTGTTTGGCAAGTGAAGCACCTTTCCATGTCCTCCGACGATAATGATATTTTTTGCAGCTTGCATTCAGATGGGATCCAGGGGCGACTTGGTCAACGTCAGCCGCGAAGTTGATCACGTCATTGTTGTGCTTCCTTTGTTCCCGCTGCCGCCCGCCTTCCCGTCTCAGCAGACCTCAGCACGTTGAAAAGCAGATCCGATCTGGCGGTCACTGTCTGGAGATGACCAATCGTATGATTATTCCCATTTTACAGCAGGATACAGCCAAGTAGTGAGGGAGACGATCCAACTTTGATCTAGATCCCAGTTTTACCCGATTTCCAGCTTGGACACCTACATTCCAGCAACACAGCTTTCTTTCTTTCACTGTGATACCCAAGTTCTGTTGTCGGTGTTTTGGTTCAGGGTTCAAAACCGATCCAGCCGATTACTTCTGATGATCTTCATACCGCCTCATATCATTTGCAACCCAGAAGCATTTAAAACGTTGAAATCCAATGGCAACCATTCTTGTGTCAATGTCTCCCTCCTCCCCCGACTTCATTTCATTATATGAAGGCAACCTTGTTCCCCTTCGTACATGTTGTACGTCGACGAGGTCTGTATCTGAAACTCAGCTGACCGTTTCCTTAGTGGCAGGCCTAACATGGACATTACACGATTACTGTGAGCACAATCTTTCTGTCCAACCACGATGATTGATCTAATGTTCCCCAGTCTTGACGATTGAGGACGAGGTCTGTTATTTCTTGAAAGACGCTAAGCTAGCTGCTCATCTTCGGTACAGATTCGATATATTTGGGTTAGTTATGCTCTTCTCTCTCATGAAATCTGATAAATTTCGCTTCAGCCTCAAAAACGTAGCTTCAGAAAATACATGTTTTTCTTCGTGAGTGTCCTTTAGATGGACCGATGCTTCAGCTAATTCTTTCAAAGATTCGCTACTACACGATCAGTATCCTTCTATTCGATGTCATCCAAATACATGTCTTTGCGAGACCAGGTATTACGAACCCAAATCTGCAAGTCCCTCTATCTCTATCACTGCGGCATTGATGAACTTTGAATCAGCTGTGTCGCAATGGATTCCATAATCCGGGTCGTCGGCGCCATTAGTCTCTGGGCTGTAGAAATAGTAATGCAGTTGCGCGTCTATGCATTATTTGGTTGCTCCAGAAAGGCACGACTTACTTCGCTTCATCTTTTAACCCAACCTCTAACAAATCCTCAGGTCGCCTTGTTCAACGCCGCGGTTTTCGCCTTATCTATTATAGGTTTCTTCGGAATTCTGATACGCAATGCGATGGTTCGACATACGGTAATTGCTTCGGCCATTAAGCTGCCGCTCCCAGGGTGCCCTTCTATTCATAGCGGTCTGGAATGGGCGCAGTGGGTTCCCGGTGCGTCATTTAGCTTTGCTCAGTCGGTCATCGATCGTTGATGAAACGATAAGCCACTGCTTTCGAAATCGTCCTCTTTGGCTTTGCGCTGGCCAAGTCGATAAAGCGTATGCGGAACGGCGAATCTTTCGGCGAATCGCTATACTATATTCTCATTCGAGACAATCTGCTATACTTCATGACGTCAGTACCCTGTTCGTCATTTGTGGCATCTTTTCATTGTGACTATTGTAGAATTGCCAGTGTGCTGCTTTTCAACAATTTCATGGTCGTCGTACGTACTCCTTTCCTTTCGTCTTGTTCCATTTTTCATGTTTCACAGGGTTTTACGCACATTCCGTGGTTCAGCTATGCGTAAGTCTAAGCGCCCGCTGTTAATGGCCCATGACTGACATTGGGTGTCCAGACCATTCCATTC